TTAGGTCAGATCTGGCAAAGCTCATTCATCCATGTGTTGTGCTTCATATGTACTAACGGCTCCTGCTGTCTTGAGTTAGGAATCATTAAACAAAGTTATTATGAAAAACTGTTTAGAAAAATGTACTCAAAAAAAAAAGGCAAATGAGAAAGATACAATTGCCAAAGAATTCTAATGCAAGCATCACCATGTTCCAAATATTATGACAAAGCTATATTTTCTTGTGAAGACTCTTCCCATTTGACTGGCTAAAGGAGGGGCATTTGGAAGTCTTCTGTATAGAAGCAGTAAACTTCAGAAATACGAAGCTGAGTTTAGAAAACTACTAGTTTCATTAGTGATGATACATCTATTAGAAAATTGGTAGGAAGTGTCAAAACACTGTTTCTAAATAAAGAACATGTTGGTTGCTTTGCACGTTTGCTGAGCGTAGTTGCCAATGTATATACAAAAGCATCTGTAAATAATTAAACAACAAATTATTCCAGTTAAATCAAACTTTAACCTTACATTAGTCAGTGATCTTCAGTGTTATACTGATGACTCAAAACAACGCAGAGGGAAAAAAATAGTTTATTTTCATTTCCAGTAATTTAATATAGTAAATTTGCTATACAAACTTTTTAAGCATTAACCTACATAACAGATTTTTTTGAAATTACATACCATTGCTTTCATAAATTAGTTTATCAGCACAAAATAGTGCACAGATCAGTTCTTACAGCAACATCACTTGAGATGACATATGGAATCAAAGACGAAAACACCACTGTGCATGTTTCATAACATAAATGAAGACAATTATTCAGACTTGTCATTTTCTACAAAGCAAATCACCTGCTAGACTGAACAGTGAATAATTTAACTGGAAACAGATATGTGTTACTGGATCATTAATGTACCGAAGGCCTATATACCTATCAGTAGTGGAGAATACTATGAAATAATCGAAGAAGTGGGGGTTTTTATGCCTCTCTCATGGAACATCCTAAAATATTCTATCAAATTCAGTCTTTTTATTCACTAGAATTAAAGGTGGCTAGGTTATCTCTCAAGAAAGTACCAAATGGTGTGCATTCAGATTAGAAAAGATCATTACAGTGGAGACCAGCAAATGATAAATGGGCCTGTAATATACTCTTGTATTGTATGTATATTGTATCGTGCAACCAACTGTTGATCCAGAAGTACCACCAAATATGGGCTACTACAAGTAAACTTTTTTCTTCTGTACACTGCAAGGTAAATATTATGAAAATTATTTTTTCCTGACTGATGTGCTAAGAGTTATTTACTGATAAAAACTGGAGTGCAGTGATGCATCAGTAAGCATTATGCAGAACTTGGAAGCTGAAGGTTTTGTTACCTACCTAATACAAAGCAGAAGTAGAACTGGCAAGCAGTCAGCATCTTTAACTGTGAACACATGAAAAATCTGAGCTGAGGAGTCAGAGGGTGTTGCGGTGATATTTGTGGAATTGACTGATGCACACTTAAATCTATCTTATTTTAGAGTCAGCCCTAGCTATGCAATATGATGCCCTAGAATTGCAAAAAGGCTCCTGTGTACGATGCACAGGACTAGCAATTTCATGTATGGATTCACGCTTCAGATGCAACAATTATTCCTTGAGTATTTATTGTCCATATGTATTTTGTTATACTGGATATAAACTTATAACCTGTGAAATACTGCAGTCTTAATTTTCTTAACATGCTATTGCATTCTTGACAGCATAGTTCTGGTTTAGTTAATATATACAAAAAATATTTAAGCATAGGTCTATTAACAGCCTTCTTCTGCTAACAATTTCTCCAAACAAGCTGAACAATAATGTTGTCATTAACTAAAATACAGTTAGTTCTACCCAATTTCACTATAGATATTTGTCAACTGCATTTGTAATGGTGTATGATTTTTGGTTTTTTGTTGTCTTTTTTACAGGATGAGAATATAATGCGATCCATGCAGCTCTTTGAAAATGTGATTTAATGAAGACATTAGGTCTACAACTAATGGACAAATATGAGCTATTCTGCAACGTTATCTAAAAGATGGATTTCCCACTTTATCATAAATAAAATTACTCAGCTTTACACTGAGACATGTATCATGCAATTAAATTTTTTACTATAAACTTTTGCCCAAAAAACCTCTAAATCATACAATTTAGCACTTCGACAGTGGCTACTTAGTTAAAAACATTGTTCTGAAAAGTCAGGTTTTTACTCCAAACCCAAACAAAAAAAGACCTGACATTATGCAGCTTTATTATCGTTCCAACCCCTAGATAAAATAGATACTATTGTAAGGAGATTAAATAAATACTCTTAGTTTTGCTACTCATTTGTACTGGATTAAGCTCCAGGTGTTTGAGTGTATTTCTTAAATCTTAGCTTCTAATTTATCCAGAGGCATTACCATGTATTTTCTTTTCACATTTGTATGGTGTAGTCCTCACTTTTTGAGTAATACTTTGAGTTAAAGTGCTATAATCAATGTGCAATGCACATCTTGCTGCAATTGCCTTCCACCTTCATCTTGCTTTTCTCTTAAAAAAAAAAAAAAAACCAACAAAACCCCAAACCTAACAAAATAGATAGCTTGAGAGGAAGAACTGTTTATAGGAAGAAAAAAAAAAAAAAATAAATTGCTTATAGGTGGATTTACTCCCTGACAAATACAAGTAAGCTTCTATCAATCAGTCACACTTACCTAGTAAACCTGCATTTAATTTATCATGACATGAGCATTGGGAGTCCTATGTACTGTATTTATAATTCTTCTTGGACATGTCCACAAACTTCTTTGCTTAAAATTAAGGATCTTCTGACTTCGAATTTTTGATGAAGAAACCTTAACTGGATCCTAACACTGTTTTCATGGGTACGTGTCTTTCTGCCTTTAATGAAGAAAAAGGCATGAACGTCCTTTGAAACTTCCATCCCACTTCAGTGCTCAGAATGGATATCACTATCTACTACTACTAACTGTTAGACAGGCTAACATCTGTTTCAGCTTTTTGTAATACCTTTAATTAGGAGACTGAATCAGAAAAAATTGGAAACTTCAGCTGTATTATATCATCTATATGTGATAACTGCAGTACATTTTTTTAGGATAATTTCTTCATTAAGATTGGAGCTACCATAATTCTGAACCCAGAAAGATTTTTCTAAAAAGGTATGTACCTACAATATAATACTGGCCCCAATCCATGTAATTTTTAAGATATATTGTCCACAGAGTTTATGCCAATACTTTAAAAATAGGTGAAATGCGATCAGAGATAGACCACTCTTCATTGTGACATTGCTGCAGAAAGGCGATTAAAGAAGTAGAAAGAATATTGCAAGCATTCTTTTGCAAAAATAAATCAGGTATCTATTCTGGTGTAGAGATGGGATGTTAGAGGCATGTTGAAGGCTGCTCTGCTATCACCAGTGTAGGATAAGAGTAGTACAATACATGTACACCTGAAATCTGCTGTAGCGTGTTTGTGTAAACTAAATGTGCACATTTTGTAAAAAAAAAAATAAAAATAAAGTAAACATGAAGAAAAACAAGCAGCATGATCAGTTTTTTGAGTTTTTAAACAAATACTTGTATTTCTTCAAATTAAACATTTTTGCCCACAAAATTAGGGTTTTTCTAAAAAACTTGAATACATGTATCTTGACTTAGCACAGCTCTGATCTCAGCAGAGATCTTAGCACAGTCCTGAAGTAAATTTAATTTAGCCAAGCAGTGGTAATTTACCATAGATTCTGAAATTGCTTTCACTTGACTGACTTTTTTAATACTCTCTGCCACAGCATCTTTTGATGACAAAAAAAAAAAACCAAAAACCAACCCTTCCAACAGCTTTAAATTCTGGAATTGAATTTCCCTCAGGGGAAAAAGTTCTATGGCAAGTTTTGTTACTTCAGACAGTTCTCCCTCAAATACTCTTAACAACATGAACCCTGAACAGTATTTACTACAGGACCTGTTAGGGATTATTTTGCAATCAAATTCAAATACGTTCACGGACAAATGCTGCACCCTACAAATCTTGACAGCCAGGTAAGCTGGCTTCTGTAATCTTTTTATTGTCTTTAACTCATATTTTTTTCATAGCTTCCACATTCAGAAGTTTATTAGCTTATCTGGAGCTGACTTCACAAGCAAGTCCCAAGCTTATCTGTGGCATTGCAGAACTCAGTGCAAAGGAAGCACAGCGTAAATGCTCCAAAGTTGCCTCTTACATCTAGCTCACATTCAGTAGGCCCAAAGCTAACTGGAGCTAATTAGTTGAGCAAAACCTAGGCCATGGCTCCATGGAGCAATCTGATGCCTGTGCACTGTATTCTCCAGAGCCTCTCTAGATTTTTCAAAACAATGCACTGAGAATGCACTGAGCAAGTTCAGTTTTGCACCATAGGCTACCTGTATAGTGTGTTCAGCTTCGTACCTTTAAAAGCTGACTCTCAAGAAGTTTAGGTGAATTCTTGTAGTTCCACATCTAACCCAGCAAGTCCTGATGAACCCAAACTGCATCCATCTGTGCCTGTGGCACAAATTAAGTTACATGTTTCAAAAGTGGGTATACAGATATAATTTAATACCAAGTTAGTTACTATTTAAGTAATTATAGCCAAATAGTTTTGCATCACATAAATGTACAAAACATACTAAGCACTGCTGATCTATTAAAGGAAATTGCAATCTACAACAAAGTAAGAATTTATATTTACTCTGCTTTTGAAATAATAGCAAATTAGTCAATGTCATTTTAGGCACAATGCATATGCAAATAGCAGCCAATAAAGAAAGGATTATTTTAAATAGTCTTCTATAAGTACATATTCACAAGCTGACTTTTCCCACTCTCCATCATACTGAAGAATTATGATTATTTTAAGATAATATATCATACCCCAAATAAGTGTCCGTGATGTTCACAGGCAGTTTCTTTCCAAACTTCAACTTACATTACAAATCACTACAGTTTTCTTGATCAAGAAGAGATAGAACAATAGGTTGGAATTTTAGATTTGATGATAGTCACAGTTGCCTGTTGATAAAAATAAATTTAAACAAAATTAGGAGCAGTAGCACCATGTATGAGAGTATTCATATAGTCTCTATAAATAGTATAATTCACAACATCTACTTAGTTATCTTTGTTATTATCAAACAGTAGAAAACTAGAAAGTTAGTATTTGTTGAGAAATTTACTATCAAAAGGACTGAAAATAATGAACTGAAAAAAATGGAACACTGAAAAAAATGGAGCTGAACAAGCCCAACTCTCTCAGCCTGTTCTCATTGGAGAGGTGCTCCAGCCCTCGGGATAATTTTTGTGGCCCTCCTCTGGACCCACTCCAACAGTTCTCTGTCCTTCTTGTGCTGAGGGCTCCAGACCTGGCTGCAGTAAGTTCATTAGTTGGATTATATAATATTGCTTGTAATCACAATTTAGCAGTTTGTTTCCAGTTTTATGCTTTATCTTATTACAGTATTTTTTAAAGACACACAGGAAGACCTACTCACAAAACCAGTAAGAGCACAAGAAGTCAGGGTACAGACAAGAATTAGAAATGAATGATTCACTGAATTAGTTACATTACCTACACCTAAGTTTTCAGAACATCAAGATGAAAGGTTAATTTTCCTTTTCTTGTCTCACTACATATAAAGAAAAAAAAAACTCTCATGCTTCTTTATTTGTCATGATGTTTTTCAAGTCTGTAACACAAACACTGCTACTGCCCTTAAATGAATATGAATGGGGAAAAAAAAAAATGAAGTGGTATGTACCAATTATTTGGGTGTCTACTGATTAAGGCACACAAGCTCAGAACTGGTAGACCTATATTTCCAGTCCCTACTCTTTAGGTTATTCCTATTCTTTACCAATGACCACTTAATATATTACATACAAGTGTTCACAGGGTCAAGAAAGCAATATTTTTCTCTTCTTGATGAATATCCAATCCAATACTCTCTCACTTTTTCTTCTCTTCTCCTTTCTGCACAACATACAGTACTACAGAAAATGGCAACAGAATGTTCAGCAGAATACTCTGCCATCTATTATTTAAAGCATTTTTTTTATTTAAAGCAATTGCAGATCTAACCTCTGGGTTAACCAGGCTGGGCTGGAACGTGAGTATCTGATTTACTCAGTAAGTGACCTAAATGCTAAGCTATTAGTGGGAATGGTCAGGCATCATCAATAACAGCAAAAAGTATCATTTGGCAAGAGTAAATCCTGTCGAGAAAAGTATTTAGGCTCAGAAAAGGGAACACAAAGCCTACGTCCCAGGCATATTGAAGAAAGACAAATATTCAGCCTGAGTCAGGTGTCAATACTCCAGAAGGGGCCTGAAGCTATTTACTAGTTGACATTTGGTTAATCCCTGGATCACTCTTTGTGGACATCTATCCTACCCCATGGTCTGTACAAGAAGCTCACATGCTTTACTCAGCATAAGCATCTACTTTCTAAGTGCTGCAATGCCTAACTTGGACTAAGAGCTTATATTAGGCATGCTAGATCTTCCCCTATGCAATTAACCCAACTGTCACATAGTTCACACCCTGGTAAAAAAAATGTAGACTTCCTAAAGAAATAGAGAATTCTCAAGAAAGAACAGCATCTCATTTAACCACTAAGTCTGCATAAGCTTCCCACCAAGGACAATAAAATGTTCCAATCAAATATCATGGGTAGGGAGCCACAGAGATGCACACTTGCTCCCAAAAAGGGTTCTCCTGAATGGGGTTTTGTGTGCTGTGCGAGTCCAGCGATGCAGGTTCTTATGTAGGTATGGATCCCTTGGAATATTTTACTATTTTACTGGAATATTTTACTCCTGTATTTCCTGCTCTGAGATTAAACCAATGGCGAATACAAATTTAAAAGGAAGATTAAAAAAAAAAAACAAACCAGGAGACAACAAAACCTAGCTGGCAGACTAGGATTACCCAGAGTAGATTTACTGTCATTTCTATTACTACTCAGTACATCAAACAGACTAAACCAACTATTTTACTATGAACTGGGACACAACTCTGCTGATTGCCACAGTGCAAAATCCTGTGTTATGCAATAAGAATAGTTCTGATGTAAAAATAAGCAGTTTTCAGAATGTTTTTAATCTGAAAGCCAGAGATGGAAGTTGTTTTGGCAAAATTGCATTCAAATGTGCAGATTACAGCATAATCATCTGGTCAACTCACCTTTCCACCATATTGCTCCAACTTTTGTAAAGCAATGGTAATTTTTTCTCTAAATTTCTTCTCCATTAATCTCCTTGAAAGCTATTGGAAAAGTAAAATAAAAAGTTTTGTTGCACAACATAATACAATATAAGCAAAGGGGCCAATATAATTTCATTTATTACTTTATTTCATCTTGTCTTTGGAAAAATAAAGCTGAAAAGAATAATCACTTTATAGCTTGTAACTGATGTCAAAGTATGGAACTCAGTCAAGGCAAAAGGTATATAATATTAACTAGTGAGAAACTAAAATTCAAAGAAAGCTCAACTGTTAGCCAAAAAAATATTTATTTTTTTTAGCAAACAAATTTTAAAGAGGCATGAACCTTAAACAAAAGGTCATTCTTAAAATGCTGTCCACATGAAAAGTTAACACAGTTTTCACATGCACTGAAAGAGGTTTATTACAGTGAAAATACTTTAAAAAAAAAAAAAAAAACCAAACAACTGCAATTTCTCTCTTCTGCATTGGATGTCTAAAAGGTCCTTTTATTTTGCTGTAAAAGTGCACTTTGGCAGCAGACTAAACGAAATCATGAAAAGCCTATCTGACAGAGGAAGGATGTCTACAGGGGACTCAGTATAAAAATACTTTCCACGATCCCACTCTGAGTTTATTTAATGAAGACTTCCTTGTGCAGAATTCCCATCTTAAAGAAGTGGAAATATTTGCTTATGTTAATTTATTGAAACTTTCACAGATATTTTAAGAGATTCACACCTAAAATGCAAAACTCATGTTGCAATAAACATAAACTTCCCTCCAAAACATAGCATCTATTTCACCTCAGGCTTGAAGCTGGATCTTTTTTAAATAGTAGAGACAACACTTTCATTATTCTCCAACTTACATTAGCAACACTCTTTGGACCTTGCTAGAACTTTATATGGCTTACACAGAGGAATATGTGAAGCAATGCTTTTCATGGAACTGCTGAGTCCTCCACTGTACCTGTGCAGATATTATAGTAAACAACAAAAATACCATGAAAATACAGATGATTTTTTACTATGGATTAAAAACGTACATTTGTGAGTAGATGCTTAAGATGATCATTAAGAGATGGGCCAACAACAGCACTCAGTTGGACTAAAGCGTCCAATCCCCTTCCAAATACTTCGTCATCTGAATGGGCCTTCAGAAGGGGGAAAAAGAAAATCCTGTCAGTAATATTCAGACAAATGCACAGGTTCTTCAAAACTGCAATCTCTACATTATGATTGTATATACTATTTTTCAAAAATTAAAACTCCCGCACAACTGCTAATTGTTATGTTACAAGTTTAGATATACAAGTACAATATGACAGAATATTAGTATCTAGAGGTAACATTTAATGACAGAAGTACATTTTTAATGTAGAAAACGAAAGTATTCACAAATTGTCAGTGAAACACTTGCACTTCTTCTGAGACAAGGAAACTAATAATTTATTATTGATGAAATAAAAGAATTCAGCAGGCAAACCAGTTTACTACGCCAACAATTTCAGTGCTTCACAACATATTAGAAAGAGCCCTTCAAATGCTGATATGTTGAAATTGGGAGACAACATTTTTGTTACAAATGTAATGAATTCAGGGTAATTTCTATGTAATTCATAACAGTAATTCTTTGTTGAAGAAACACAGGAGCCAACGACTTTCTGGCTCAACTAATTTAGTCCCCTGCCAACTACAGATTTGTCACCTGCCAGCAATTATCAGGCTTTTATCTACTTCTAGGGTGCTTTGTCATCTTTATTATTCCCATGGGAAGGTTATTCTATACACGAGTTCTCTAATGGTTTAGTTATCTCACTCTTCCTTTAGCAAAGAAATTGATTCATGACAATTTATTTTATACTTGTACTAATAGTGACCTTTATTTAAAGAGTTATTTTTCTGACATTTGGGCCCTGAACATTTTTTTTTAATCAAAAGTCATCGACTGATTGTGCAGTAGAAGGTTTAACAAGATTTTATACCAAAACAGTGCAACAGTGGAAATTAACAGACTAATAACAGTCACTGGACGAGCAGACAAGAATATTTTTTCTAGTTTTGCCCTCCAAACTAAACTAAAGATACTGATAACAAACAATTCTGATCTTCAATTACACCTCTCATCTGAGATCACAAAGAATTTTCAAACTTTCAGCCTATAAAACCAGTACTGAAACACAGCTAGATTAAAGGACAGCAAGTAGGTGAACCAGAAGAGGGCTCTGAAATATATGAAAAAGATGCAAAGGAGATTACTTTCAAGGCCAATACTTTTATGTCACTTTATTTTCTGAAGGAGTAGAAAAAGCATTTTAAAAATGGAGAATATGACCTCAAACATTTTAACTGTATTCTTTGCTTTTCCTCGTTGGCACATTCTACTTCATCTTTGTAGCATGTTTTGAATTTTTAAATGTAACAGATGAGTGTTTATTCTCACATCTCAATTTTACTTCACCTCAATTTTTTTCCCCATGTTATTATGTGGATGTATAAACCACCACCAATCCATATATTTATTTCTGCTTATATTCAGATCTTTAACAGAACATTTCCACAGAATTTGCCCATAGCTACTGTCATACAGTTATACAAGGAGTTGCCCATCTGAATTTACAGTTAAAGACATATTTAGCTAATAAAACCAAGGCAGGGTTAACATGAGAAAAAGAAACTATTCCCACCCCACAAACCCCAAACCAAAAGCCCACACAATAGATTTATCACATTAAAATTTTCTGTGTAATCCTCACCAGCACAAGAAAAAAAAACCAAACAAACCCACTGAAAATCTCTGCATTAAGAGTAAGACATACCAATGCAGTCTTTAACACTGGAACTAGACGAGGCAACAAGGGAACTGCTTTTTCAGTAGCACCTTCAACCATAAGTAATTCTTTAAAACCCTCCTTTGAAACAAATGTATAGGGATGTTTTGTCTCTCTTAGACCCTGTTTTAAATGTAAAACATGTTTGCTCAACAGTGATTCTTCTTCAAAAAAAAAAAAAAAAATTAAAAAACTTTCACATAGCAGCAAGATAATGTTTAGATTTTATTACATCAGTTCAAAACATAAAATACACTAACTCCACCATGTGGAGCCACTGAGTACAACTCTGCTCACAGAATAGTCTTACTAATACTTATTTTGGAACATTGAATATTAAAACTCACATTATTAATATTGCCAATCCAATCAATATGTGTACTTCATTACCTTTAATCTAACTAAACAAGGTAATTTTTCAACAAGACCATGAACAAATATAGGCAACATTTGTAAACTATTTTTCTACCCTGAAAAAAAAAAAAGAATATAAGGTGAACTATGGAAGGAAAGACAGCCCCCACCACACACACACCCTTCTGCAACACCAAAAACTTGTAGATGCTACAAATATGCACTTCTAGTGAAGACCTGACAGGCAGAAAGCAAAGATTTAAAGACCTATGGCTGAAGTCTTTCTTCTTTCCACAATAGGACCTCTAAGTTACTTTAGGAATTAACAGCTTTTATAAAGATTTAAAAGAAAAAAAAGAGGCCACATCTCGAGTATGTACTTTATTCCATCTGCCACACAGGATTCAACATCTGAAACATATTTGGCGACAAATGTCACAGACAAAGCTGAGAAAGCAGAAGCCTGAAGATAATGTGTAGTATTTCTCTTTCACTTGTTTACAGGATTCAATTTCCCCTGTATTAGTTCAACCTATTGAGGAGAACACTCTTACTTCAAATAGGTAAGCTTTACATACAAAAAAAATCAAACCAATTCTCTTTACAAAAGAACCTGCAAAGCCACAAATGGATTGAAGTATTTCATTCAACAGTTGGGAATCTGAGATGCGGTCTTGTATTTGGCCAGTATGTCAAAGATTAAATAGCTCTCCCTAGCTCTCCCAGAATGCTCTAACTGAAGAACTACAAATGGCAGTGTTCTTGACCATCTTCATTCATACAAGAGCCTCACAAATGTTTTTTTTCATATTTCCCTAGTAGGTGAGCCTAAGTTAGCTAGCTTAGCTTGTTACAGAATGCCATTTACAAATAGGAAATGTCTATGCTTAACTTTGCAAGAAAATTGAGTTTACCTCTGCCAATGTTACAAGAAGTGGATCAAAGGGAACAGTTTCAGGCAGGCATTCCCATTGCAGTCTGTGCTTTACTGAGCCATGCACTAACCTATATAAAGAACAAAGTTTTAACAAATTAACATATAATAATATTTAATTTATTGCTAACACTATTCATTTTAAGTATATCACCAATTGGTTTTCAATATTACTATGTTATATACACAATTTAAATACATACTGCTGTCCTTAGTGAAATATATAATGGTATTTAACAGTACAATTATTATAATTCCCAAATACGACAGTTTTCAAAATTCTACTCCCAATCACACAGAAATCAGAAAACAAAAGTTATAAAAATTACAGATGCCTCTCCTACCAATACAGAAGATGCTCCCTCTGCAAAGTTACTTATTTTGATAAATAGCAAGAAACATTTTCCACAAATAAGAATTGGTAAGGGAAAGCAGTTGAAACTGAAAGAAAATCATATTGGAATTCCTCAGTTATTCCTAAGATACAGATAAAGGTTATGCATTAATGATTATTTTTTACATGTACATACATGTAATAATGATTACTGAAATTTTTGTTAAGTAATTCTGCATTCACTTGACAAAACACTAACGTGCTTATTGTCTAGGAAAATACATAATAGACAAAAGTAACTTGAAATACCATAAACTATTACTTACAGTAGTTTTGTTAATATCTGATATTGCTGACAACTACAGAATTGGAATATTCAAGAAAATGTCATACTACTTACTTCAGATAAAAAAGGACTGCAAGATGTCTACTTACTAAAATGGCACTAACTGTATTATCTTTGTCAGTAGGGAGAAGTAAAGACCATTACATGAAGAAATCAACTTATTTAATGAAAGAGGTTTAGAAAACCAAATCTGCAAATACCTAGATATTCTTTAAAGATGCAGCTACAGTATTAACACAGCATAAAAATAACCCCCAAAATATGACAATTTCAAAGACATGGAAAATTGCTTTCTGCTTTGAGAAGAGTTAAATGTCAAATCTTTTCAGAAATGAATTGAATCAAACAGCCTAACTGAAAGATCAAACATGAATATATGTATTTTAATCTGTGTAATTCTACCTAAGCATAATATATTTAGTAAAAAAATAAACAAACCCAACATACCTGCATGGAATGCCACCTTTAGCATATATAGCAGCAAATGCAGAAGGTGGTCGCGAATGAGCACCAAACTGTGAGGACAGAAAAACCCCAAAATGTTATTTATTCATAACAGTAATGTTTGAAAACTATTTTGAACATGTTAAAACTGCAGCTTACCAAAAAAGGAACTTAGTCACATGATTCTAGAACTAATCAAAAACCAAACTGCAGTTATGGGGTGGAAAACATATATTTGGTATATTTATCAGAAAATTGCTTTTCAGAATTGTCTGGCTAGGAAGTTGTAAAAATAAATAAATAATGTAGAATCAATGCTCTCCTGATGGAATACCCTTGTTTTTTTACTTCCTCTTGCAAATCTTAACACTGAACTCTTACAGGTTCTCTCCTTAACAGATTAAGGACCTTTCACTTCCCTGATGCTCTTATTGTTGTATATTGGTAACATGCAGAAGGCAGATTGACTCCAATTTCATCATGAACCAAGTACAGACAAAAGTACAAGGTGGCAAGATGTGGGAGAAACACTGAATGTTGGGCAAGATGGTATGAGGGCACTGAAAATCAGCACGGAGGTTCATACTGGGTGAGAATCTAGGAAGGACTCACTGGAGAAGGGAACTAGGATCTTCACGGGAGGAAAGCATTCATAAAGTTGTTTTTTATCATATGCATGCTTCTTATGCATATGAACTATGATATTATTAGCATGATCATTCAATGCTTCTTTCCAGATTAAACATCTTATCACAAAGCATATAGCAAGAAATACCATGAAATCTTAATTTTTATCTTTCAAGTATCTGAACCTACATTAACATTTTTAAAATTGTGTGCATGTTTTGATGACTTCTTGGCTTAATTAAGTCATTGCACTACTTGCCAAAAGGTTTCAAGAAAAAAATGCCCACGTGAAAGTATTCAACCTCTGTTTATGGCAAACTAGCACCTCAAAGTACTCTCATGTTTTCCAAAAAGTCTGTGACATTGCTAATCATTTATGGCCCAGCGGTGAGCTATAATTCACCAATTCAAAGCTAGCTCTCCAGGCACCGGACTTATGATAAATAAACTCCTTTCATCAGTCTTCTCCCGAGAACCCAAATTCTCCCCAAAGTATTACATGTTCACAGTACTTGGGATTTTCAAGTAATGCTCATTAGCAAGTAATTTGCTAGATTTTATGAGTTCTAGATGATCTTTAAGATGCTATCTGATTCTTGGTTTCATTGCATAACTGAGATCAGTTCCTCTAAAGAAGCAAGTGCCAAAATTTGTAACTATACCAAAAAAACCCCAACTCTTTTAAACTCTTACCCCTAAATCTCTTTTTTACGTCAAAAGTATATGGAAAATAAAAAAGTTACCATCCAAGCCACAGTTGTACCAAACCTCCTTACTTAAAAAAGTAATAAACATGTTATGCCTTAGGCATTTGAGCTTAGAGATTAAGGAAAGTATGATTAATAACAAAAGCTTAGTTTAGATTTATAAAACAGGACCAGAAGAAGCATGTCCTGCATGTATTTCATAAAGTAAGCAAATTTCTTCCAACGAGAGATCTGTTTTAAACAAACAAATAGAAAACTCATCACCTATACATACAGGATCAATAGTTTTAGGATTCAGCTTGTCACTAGGCTTTGGCTGTGGTTTAATTGCAGGTTCTGGAGAACATGGCAAAGGAGAAGATGTCTTGCTTTTCTGTACTGCAGTCTTTGGTTTTATCTGGATGCCTGATGACATTCTTAGAACATTACTTCCTAGAATAGAAAAAGATTAAAAACATAAAATAGTTTTCATTCCTACATGACAGAATATCAAGGCTTAGAAACCCAGAGTCTGAAGACTGATATGAACAATCAATCAAGAAAATCTGAGTAAGTGTACTAGAGAAGAAATGCTTATTCTTATAGATCCTAAGCAGTGCTCAGGGTAATTTCGACAGTCTCGTCACTCCATCTTTCAAATGCACACATCTCCTAATCCTGCGCTGCTCCCCTTTACTTCTGTACTTTGAGACCTGCAGCAAAAGTGAAATTAGCTACAATCTGCCTTTAGGGTAGCCTACAGAAGTCCGAGCAGCAATGCAGTGCTCAGCAGAACAGCCCAGAGTGAAATAGGCTGGTTGGGTACAGTTACAGCAGAAGACAGTAACGACCTGAGGAATTACCAGGATGAAGGAATGAACACAAGAGCAAGTAGATTCAGGACACAAAAACCAAAGCAGAATCAATAAGAGGAAATAAAAGAAATGTAAAGTAGGAAAGAAAGATCACAGAAAATGAATTTCAATTCCAGTAGGAAGAATGAAAGCATTTTGTTAAAAAGAATGCAAAAATAGCTTTCTATATACATCCTTCAATACAGATTTAGGTACACATATGTTCTAAATGTTAATGCACAAGTTACATGTATTATTATTATGTATGTACATAATTGTGTTAAAATGTCCCTAATAAAAATAATAGCCCACTGCCTACTTAACATACCCAGCCTGACACTGTGATGAATAATACAAATTATTCCTGGGAAAAGACAGGTTTTCAAATGTTAATAAAACTATAAAGTATGAAAATGCTAGTTTTGAATATTATTAATGTTCAGTAATTTATGCTGTGGTGTACTCTGGATGAAAAAAAATTTAGCAAATAAGAAATTATATTCCTTTAGTAATCAAGAAATGGCAACATATAGAAAAGAAAACAATAGGAAGCCCGTTAAATAATACACATAAACAAACATTGCCACAAGATTGAGTAGGGTGCTTGCCATGCAGTCATCACCTTTCAAAACTTGATGACACCTGGTTTTGTCAGCAACATGGTTAAATTCCAAATACTGAGTAGACAGGCAGATTTTTTTTGCCATACTACTTCCACTCCCTCAGGCCTATCGGCCACCCACCCTAATCTCTTGCCAGAATCTTGTACATGCAGTCCTTGTTGTTTAGCTTGGTTCTTCTAATTCTTCCCTCCAGACAGAATTTCCAGTCAGGTACTTTTATCGTTATCTAAATTACTAAATCTTTAGGATTATTTCTGCTTCTAGTAAGAAGTCATAAGGCCCCAGAACTTGTGTAGATATGCTACATCCTTATGACTCATAGAAAGAATTAAATGTAGCAACTAAGTTTTACTGAACGTTGAGAACTACACATAGTAACGGTTAGCAACTTAGCTAAAATAAAAATACAAAGCAAAACTAAAATTGAAAGTTCAAATCAGTACTTCTTGACTGATGATTTAATCAGAGCTAGTGACTGAAATCAGTTCACCCACTGTACATCTTGGTTTCTCTTTCCTACCATTTTCAGAACATGCCTGTCTCTAGTGACAGTCTTTTAAACAGAAGAACTAACATACCACAATTAGACGAAAGTCTCTTCAGAACACACAAAAACTTAAGTGACGCTAGCAGGAACTATTCTGTTTGTAAAATGCAAATCATTAAAGCCAGAAATAATTTGAAGCCCTAAAAGACAAGCAATAACAGAAAGAAAATTTACTGATTTTGTAAGTGCCAGCTTATTATCACAGATGGGTTTATACTATAAAAACACCAGATAAATTCTTGACATTAGCATTACATATCACAAAATAGTGCTAGCAGTGTCAAACTTTGAAATGTACAATTGCTCATAATGTGAAGTCAACTTGCTAATAAAAAGTAGTAATTCAGAAGTAATTCAGATGTATTCAAATCTTTTTCTCTTCCAAGAATTAATCAAGATACATGCCATGGACTTTGCTAAGGTTTAAACTAATGACAAAATCTAGATGTATTTCAAAAGTTACTGGTTGTACCATCAGAGAAAGTAAAAAAATAAAAGGTGTGACAACAGGCAGGAACAATGTTAGCTCTCTGAGACAGAAGTAAAGATTGGAGATAAGGACAGTGATTAACAGTTTTGTAAAAACCGCAACTGATAAAACACGCCTATGTGTTGCCAGAGGAGGAGGTGGCAGAGTGGAAAAAGGACTTTTCATAAGGCGGTCTCAGTCTGCAGGGCAAGATGAAAGGTCTTGTGTAGTCAAGAGCTGGGACTCACGGGCATTTGTAGAGAGATCAGACAGCAGAAGTGTAGTTGTGAATCAAACAAGTGACATACTGGGCTCGATACAGAAGTGAGCCATCCTACTGGCAGATGACAGGCTTCAAGCAAAGGGGAGAAATCCTTAAACAGAAGTAGAAAGAGCACCTTTAAAAGGCATCCCTCAAAGGAGGAAAAGTGCGGCCTAGAGTTTGGGTTCTAGAAGTTGCTTAAGAAAGGCGGAATGAAAGTAAGTAGGCTCCCTTACCCTGGCGAGTGTTAACTCTCCCAGAGTGGAGCTAGGGCACAGAAAGAAAGAGATGAGGGGCATCGAGCACCGTGACCGCCAAGAGGCTCAAAGAGCAAAGCTCCGGCAAGTGACCACTGAGCCGCCGGACCAACCCTCACAAACACCGTGGGACATCAAAAGACCCAGCGAGAGGACGAGGAGGGACACGCGGGCCCCTGTGCCCTCCCCACAGCTCCCCCTCTCTGGCGGGGAAGCCCAGGTCGAAGCGGCCGGAGGGGAGCGCCGGGCCGGTGGCCAGCGGTGTCCCACCTTCTTACGGGCTCCTCGGGAATGGCGGCCGCTCAGCGCCCCGAGGGCTCGCTGCGGGGCC